GGCGCTGGGATCGTTGTGTTCACTCCCAGGGGAACTACTTCGAGGGTGATGGATGAATTTAATACCTGAGATAAGTGTACGGGTTTTTATACGCGCAGTCTTGAAACTTTCCGATCGCACCTCGTACAGCTTACAGTCCTTAACTTCGAAAACTCGGCTTCACTCCACTGTTACATTTAAAACGTAGTTAATAAGATATTTATTTTAATTGTTTAACAAGACATTTATAGCAAGTTTCATGAAAGTCAGCACATTACTGCAAAATTTATTAACGGAGGGTTCACACGTACACTGACAATGAACGCATAATTTTCCTAATTAATGAGGAACACAGCTGTTGAAAGCAGTTACGTAATTTTCTAAACTTCCTATGTGTAACAAATTTTCACTTTGTAAAGTGAATGACTCTAGTCAATATAATCAAATTTAAAATATCCTTCACCCTACACTCTTTACCCCTTCGTCAGACGTTTGTCTAGATGATGAAACTTGCCCTATGTCTGTGGCTTCACCCCAGTTTTTCATGGCCTTGATTTATATACGCTCACGGCCCCCTAACGTAAAAGACGCTCGATCAGCCCAGAGAAGAATCACGTGACACCTACGTCTGTCAGAGCCACGCAGATGCAGAAACGTACGAATAGCGTAACAATTCTTTCACGATCGTTCGGGTCATCGCCTCTGGGTGTTCAATTCGCGAGTGTTAACTGCTGGAGTTCTATTATAACAGTGGAAAACAGGAGGACGGACAAGCATGGACCTCCAGTATAAAGTGTATAAAGCGTTATCAGAACAATTCCATCGGTTCCCGAATTATGAGATTGCACAGCTTCAAAATCTTTTTCGTTTAGTTTTATTCGAAAAAAAAAGCAAGAATACGGAAAATATTTATTGATTTTTCTGTATTCTTTTTTTTTTTTCGAAATATTTTTCTGTCCCATAAATATTCAGCAAGAAACACTATAAATGCGGCCAGTATCCGTTGCTGTAGGCCGAATTTATGGAAAATAGGAATTTGTTGACAAATTTTAGTATTTTTTATTTAGTGTTCTGTCTGACGACAGGTCCATATGAACAGGATCCTTCCATCCTTTTCTCGGACTGTCGATTAAGATTTTGAAATTCTCATGGCGGTGAGTACGAAAATGACTGTCTTCTGGGTTGGTGCAGTTTACCAACGTTTCACTTGTTTCTAGCTGCCTCCATCATCAGGGCGATGAGTCTCGTCGCTCTGATGGATGATTAAGGCAAACAAGGACCTCCGAAACGTTGGTAAACTTCTGCCAGATTACACGGCGCTACAGCCCGGAAGGCAGACATCTAAGAAACTAATTTATTAAAGAGAAGACATTCATTTCTACCAAACTGGTTTTCGTGGCAAACTGCATGGTAATTAAGTTCTGCAGGCATTACTTATGACTTGCGGATCAGCGACATGTTGTTAATTAGGAAGGAGAAGACGCACATGCCCAAGGGAGCGTGGAGATCCCCACGCGGCATTTCCTGGAAAGATAGTGTTGACGTCTCTGCCTCATTGCTGCATTTCTACGCACTGCTCCCACGTATTCGTTCTTAATTTAATTACAGTAAAATACTACAAGCAGCCTACAAATTAAAATTCTTGTCACGCAATAGCTTTTGCGGCATGAAGAACAACTTTAAATCGTCAGCGTACTCCAAAGAGTACACCTATCCAGTTTGTTCAGTGTAAGATTGTGGTAGATCCGCCACTGCTCCCTGCTCACCAAACATTTCCATCCCCTAACCTCTCACAAAGTTGGCCGTACTGTTGCAGCCGCCGGAATGATGCTGACGAGCCACAGCCCGCCGATAGCGACGCCCCTGGAGCCGTGTCGAGTGGCGCCCTACGTCAACGTGCCGTCTCTGAGGCTCCCCACGGCGTACGACCGTCTGCCGTTCCCCGCTTTCTCGGCGTTCGACCCGGCTCTGCTGACCGCGGCCCACCAGGTGAGCTCTGTGCCTACGCCCGCCCGAGGCGTTCGCGTTGTGGTGTCACGTTAAACAGAGGCACTGGGATCTCAATCATAGATAATTCAACCCTGAAGATGGAAGCTATACGTTCCATCGAAATCACCCGCAAGACCACAATCGACAGATCGGTTCTTCTGTCTTCAAGGAGAGGGTCTGCCTACTCTATCGCCAGTAATGGCCAGGTCTTTCTTCAATAACTCGCTTATTATCATCATTTAAGCAGTCCACGTCATTGCACAAATCAAAATATCCCCATTTATGCTTACAAAAGCTAGTCCTATGAAGGCTTACGTTTGGACGGCAGGTTCAACTGTGCAAGCGTCAAAAGGCAGAGCCCCTCTGGCGTCGATGGATTACTGCGTCTCACATTTCTTTTCCTTTGGGTAGGCGTTTAAATCTTACAGTTCTTACTGAGCTCGTTTGAATCCTTAAAGGTCACTATCATATAAAAATAAATGCAGAGGTGTGTAATTCATTATGAAGTTTTGCCTAATGGCCGTCAGCATGTTTCACTGAGGTATGATGTGACCATTAGGCCTACAGATTGCTTACTAAATTTTATTATTTATTTTTGTTTCCCGATTTCAAGTGAGTTAATTATTTATATTAGTTGCTGTTTTATAAGAATTAATAATATTTTGTTGTTGGTGATATGTCAGTCGTATTTGATGGTATCTGGTTCTTTGGGAAATGAATTTAATTCGTGTAATTTATTTAAAGTTTCTTTTTTTTATGTTATTTTTATTTTTGCAAATGTTTCGGGGGTTCAGCTTCGTTTCATATTTTTATATTTTTTTTTGTTTTGTTTATTTTGGTGGGTTTTATATTAACTATCTTTTTAAGTATGTTCAAATTTTATTTTTAGTTATTTGTTTAATTTTTTATAAATAAAGAAAATTTCGCTTGAATCTTTAACGGGCATTATTCTATTTCAATAGGCCTAACATAAAATTATTTGTTCACGTTCTGGAGCAGCTGTAACAAAATTCACAGAATCAGTTCTATCTCAGTCTGCGGTGGATCGCTGGGTATAGCAATGACGTCACTGACTAATTGTTTTCAGTACGCTGCTGCAGCGGCAGCCATGTCGTCCAGTTCGTCTCCCCTGGTGTTCTGCCACCCGCAATACCCGCTGGGACTGGCCGCGCTAGCGGCCGTCCACCAAGATCGCCTGCACTCGAAGAACTCCAGCATCGCGGACCTCAGGCTCAAAGCTAAGAAACACGCAGAGGCCCTCGGACTCACAACCCGCGAGAAGACTGTTTAACTTTCTATTATGATCGCAATGGCTTAAATAAATCGATAACCACCTGATGTCGATAATCGATGTGGACGTATCGAAACTTTAGTTTTGAACAGAAATGTTTGTTTCTTGGGTTTCTGAAGAACACTATAAATAAATAAATCAATAAATTGACGCCCCAACAAGAATCTGATTGTTTTGTTTTGAAACGAAATTATCTCTAACAATAAATAACCTTCACAGAGTATTTGAAGGAGAAAAAGACAATGAACTCCGGGGAATGAACTTGCGATGATAAAAGAGGATGTGTGTGGTGAAGAGAACGGATTTTAATTATTGTTCAAGACTGCAATATAACGGTATAGGACCAATGCAGCTAACTTTTCATAAAAATACGAAAATTGTATTAGCCGATGAAGCTGACTCTTTCGTCGGCTGAGGAAAGTGATGTTCAGCTGTTCTGACGAGGGACAGTGATAACGCTAAAGATTCACAGTTGCAAAATGTGTGGGATTAAATTCTAGTTATAATAATACCAACTTCACGCAATATGTTACTATAAATTCTGTATAAACTAATTATGTTTGCCTATATGTCGGTTGCCATGGAAAAGTTAAATGTCATTCTCTTGTTCTGTCATTGTCATTACGGGACCAGTTACGTTCCGTGAGGCGACAAAGATCACAATGAGCTTTGTACGCTTTGGAACTTATTTTTAAGAGTCTGTAAAATCTGACATTTTCTATGTCCTCATATAAGTCTACGCAAGTTCAAGACGGTCTTTGTAAACGAATAAGAATGTATTTTCTCTATTCGCGACGACGTTAAATATTGCCTAAGGCGAAGACGAAGTGATGAAAATGTACCACAAAACAAGAGATATGGCAATGGAATATGTGTTCTTGTGTTGTATAAAAGAAAAACCGCTATTAAAATTAAATCAACGTTAGCCGTTTAAGATTCTGGCAGAGTGACTCAAGTACCTTAGGAAAAATTGTTTTTGAAAGTTTCTTAATATTTTATAACCCAGTAATCCCGTTGATGTAAGATTTGAGGTTTTCACAACGGTGAGTATGAAGGTTTCTGTCTTCTGGGTTGTTGCGCTGTGTAGTCTGGTCGATGTTAACATCGACCAGACTACACAGCGCAACAACCCAGAAGACAGAAATCTTCATCGCCCTGATGACGGAGGCAGTATGACCTCTGAAACGTTGGTTAACATCGACCAGACTACACAGCGCAACAACCCAGAAGACAGAAATCTTCATACTAAGAATCGCCCTGATGACAGAGGCAGTATGACCTCTGAAACGTTGGTTAACATCGACCAGACTACACAGTGCAACAACCCAGAAGGCAGAAATCTTCAATCCCGTTGATGAATAACACAAAACATACACTTTCTCATCTTAATGGTTCGGAGATATATCTAACATTGCACTAACTTCAGGGAGAAGAATCCTTCTTGAGAAGTTGACAGACGCTCATCTAATAAAGAAATTCCTCGTCATTTATAAAGCCAAAAACTTTATTATCGTGCTTAAGACAGCTCACCACCAGTTCTTATCCTAAGCCAGATGAATCCAGTCCACGTCCTGGCATCCTCTTTCCTTAAGACCAGTTTCATTATTCTCCGATGTACTTCTACGTCTTTCAACTAGTCCCCTGTGTCCAATATAATATTGTACTACAGAGTAAAATACAATTTTATCGTCCTATAATTTCCGATAATTATTCGGCAGGGAAAGTTAAGTGGCTCAGCGGTTATATTCTCCATAGCCCTTTAAAGCCGAACCTCGTCTAAATATTATTTAAGAATCCAGTCCGTACCGCAAAGAAAACACCACATTTTACCATTACAAAGACCAATTTATTTACGGTGTTTAAGGAAGTGATTGCTGTTTGCAATGAGAATCATACGAAACCCGTATAGTTACTATGGGCTTTAAAGGGTTAAAATATACCATTTCCTCACGTCAGTCATACGCTGACGTGAAGATTAATGAAGTCTTACGCGTTTTACGTTCATTTTTAAAGGAAAATAAAAACAAAAGAATGACTCACAGTTCAATTTCAATTGTCAAATTCGAAGTGAACTAATTTAATCAAAACAGACAAAATCGAAAGAAGGAAAGGATTTTACTCGGGAGAGAATGAACTGCATTCGATCAAATTAATTATTCAAGCACAGAAGAGTTAACACGGTTAATTCTGTACGATCTGATTTTCGCCCATCCTGCTGGACGCTGACTTGCCATCAACATGGCTGCCACGCGACAAATGAACGACATGCCAAATCGTCTTCAAAAAGTCTCAAATATTTAAATTGGGATTCAAATCCAAAACTCCCCATCTACAGACGTCAAGTCATAGACGAGTATTTCTGAATGCTGCCAATGGGTAATTTCAGAAAGAAAACTGACAAGTTAAGTGGTAAACGAATTTGTTCTTCCATGTAGTATCTTGATACAGCTGGTGAATCAGAGAAACAACAGTGATGTCACGGCCCCTTGGAACCCCCGACCCCTCGACTAATCGAATCAGAGCCAATAAACCAGTGGGATCCGCCCCTAATTGTTTGTGACGTGAATGCGACTCGACTTCCCATTGCTGATTGTCGTTTGTTTCTTTGTACCCAGCATCCCACAGTGTTTGGCTGAGCGTGACTCTGAACGTGGGACCAAGGGTCAAGGCCCCTCGTTCCGTCGTACTGAATATCTCTACGTTAAGGAGATTTTTTTTAAAAAATTATATCACACGTTACAATTTTGGTTGAAACCGTGCAAAAATAATGGAACATTGCATAAAAATCAACATGTGATTCTGCTCTCGTAACTATGTGAAGTCTCCTTAAGGGAATCTCCATCCACCGAGGAGACTCTAACGTCGGTGGCGGAATCCGCGAGTGACGAATTCTGTCGACAGGTGTTATCTTGTCTGGTCCTTCCTTCTTTTATAGAAACAGCCTAATTTATCCGAATCTGGACTCGAACACACGCCTTCCTGAACGAAAACTCAAAGCCTGTTGAGACAAGACGCCTACCTTAATAAACCAGAACACAGCAGACGCCTTCTCGTAATGCACTTTGCAGTTCATAATTCATAATGATCCTGTCACCTTATACTTCTCACTAAAGAAGTGATCAGTTGATGCAGCGTCTTTAAAGTTTAATGATGCAATGTGATGAATAATTGTAACGAAGCGTACAAATTGTTGTAGGATATTACATTTAAATTTATATGGATTTTACACCTGAAGATGGTTCATTTAGAACCGAAACATGTAGTGTAAAAGGTGATGCTCTAATGTAAATCGAACATTTCGATAGAGAGCATCATTTTAATATATTTTAAATATTTAAATGTTAATTGTAATAATATTTTAATATTTAATAATAATATTTTATTGTGATTAGACTGATAAAATTGAGCAAGTATATATTCAACACAATATGACGCAATATTATCATCTCGTAAAAATTCCAGTTAAACAAGTGATAAAAAGTATGAAGTATTGGGTGCGATACCAAATATTCTACGTTAATTAAGTGCAACCGAAAACTTTTTGGCCCGTTCGGAGCAGCGACAGAACAAGACACTTTGATCCTCCGTCTTAGCCTTCGGTCCCGTCTCTCTTGAAGCAGCCAGAACGGCGGGTGTCCGCGGACACAAACAGCGCGCCCTTGACGGACGTGAGCTGGAAGATTAATAGGAGCACAGCCTGGCTGTCTTAACCTAACCCAATTATAGGGGAGTCCCCACACACACTCGTAATCACCCCCCGACTCCCGTTTCGATTTCCTGTCGGTCCAAATCTGCCACGGTTCGTCAGGCACCCCGCCGAATTATGCAACCACCTCGGCGTCACAGCTCAAATCTGCTGTTCGCCTGTCCGACGAAGTCCGACGCGAGGAGTGGCTTCTACGAACCGTCTAAAACTGAGACCTCAGGTTGTCTTCTGTTATTTACTATAAACGAACGCCTTCCGGGACCTCCCATGTCTATCTGTCTGTCGCGTTTCAGCGCGTTGCTACGATGACCTTGAAGCACACAGATGTTTCACTGACTTTCTATGTCACTGTTCATTTACGAAATACAAACATATTAGTGACCTGTGATACTACAACGAATGAAGAAACAATATAAAGGACTAGAACATCACAAGAAAAAATGAAGACTAAAAATCATTAAAAATCAGTAAAAAATCAGTAATTCAGTGAAAAGTTTAAATACATAACACCTGATGATGGCTATATATAGCCGAAACATGTAGTGTATGTTCCACATGTAAATCGAGTACTCGATAGGGAACGTAAAATGATATTTTAATCTTTTTTAATAATATTATATTGTGATTGACGGCTAATTTTAATATATTTTTAATACTTTGGAATTTCGGTGTACTCCAAAGAGTATACCTTTCCAATACTCGAATAATTTATATTTTTCATATTTTTTTAAGAATTTTTTTTGCGAGGTTTTCAGGGCTGCGGTCGTTTATAAAGAGTTCCATACGGAACCCCGAGAAGAAATATTTTCCTATCCTTGTGTCAGCTGGTGTGGCCTATAGTAGCAGCCTGAGTTAAAACCACCGGGAAATTACATACGCTCGAAGGACCCCTGTGCCTGCTGTAATTTTTCCGACTATCACAAATCTGCCCCGACATCTAAACCCGGTCTCCAGAATTAAACTGATGTAATATCTTACAAAGAAAAAAATTCGATTCACGTATCGACCCTACGACCTTGAACCAACACATAAAATTACTTCGTCACTTATCGTAAAAATTCACTGATCACTCTCAGAGACGCTTTATTCAATTCATTTTATAAACACAAAAAATTTTTGTGATCGACATTCCAAGTGTGTAAAAAAAAATGTAGGAATGTGTAAGCTAACTTACGTCAGATTAAGCGTCTTGTCTGCTTTCCACTCCATTCGTCGCGAGTCCATCAAACGAAAGAGAAGCTGATAAAATACTGCCCGCAACACAAGGCAATTTGTAGGCATCACATGTCGAAACCTCCCCCCCTCCCCCTCCCCCGCCGACTGTAATGTCGCTCAATACGTTACTACAATCGCTCCTTTTTTTATAGTCTATCTTTTTTTATTGACGTAAATTTGACTTGTGAAAAATTAATGCGGTCAAATAAAATGTCACTCCACTGGCCGAGAGTAAATTTGTAAAAATGTTCCTTCATTTATTTTATTAATGTTACATACAGAGCGATGTAGAGCGCGAGGGGAATACCAGGTCGCCATGACAACACAATTTCGTGCAAAAGTGGCATGAGCGGACGAAAGTAAAATTCGATTTCCGAACGCGAGGATCGTGACAGACCTAAGAACTTTCATAGCCTTTGCAAAAGAAATTACGCCTATTAATGAAACAACAGGCTGCTACGAAAAGAAGCTTTCAAGATTTACAAACGATCTAGCTACCAGTTACATCGATTGAGGATCTCTGCAGTTTTTCTCAGTCTCTTAAGATGAATATCTGAACAGGATATCAAAAGAGGGAATAATAAATTCCTGCTCTTCAAACCTTATTTAATAACAATTTGTCAACATATTTACGCTGATTTAACAATACAGTTTAAAATATTTATATAAATATTTGTTATCTTCACCAAATATTATTAGGATCATAAATAAATGAGTAGATGAGCGAGACATGAAGCACGCATTGAGGAGAAGTGCATGCAAAATTCTGGTTCTGAAAACGGAAGCGAGAGAGAGAGAGAGAACCACTTGGAAAATCTAGTTGTAGATGGAAGGACACTATTCGAATGGATCTTAAGTGGGATGTGAGGATGTGGACTGGGTTCATAGGCTCGATATCGTGGACACGGTAATGAACCTTCGAGTTCCATCAAAGTCGTGGGAATCTCTTCGTTAACCTAACCTAACCTAACCTAACCTAACCTAACCTAACCTAA